CGATCTTGGTTTTTAATTTCTTCAGCAGATGAAGTTAAAGAACTCAACCAAAGTTGGCAATGGAAGAAAAACTGATGTGGGTATTGTGGAATATTATTTTAAGATGTGTTACATTTGTTTATGCTGTGGAACATTTATGCATTAATGATGCAAAGATGTGTTGCATTCTTTTATGTTGCATTTGTTTAACTCTGTGAAGCTGTGTTACTGTGCCTGTTTAAAACACCTGATTAGTCTGATAAAGAGCTAAACAGCCAATAGCAAGGCAGGAGAAAGGATAGGTAGGGCTGGCAGGCAGAGACAATAAATAGGAGAAATCTGGGTGAAAAGAAAAAAGAGCAAGAGAAAAGAAGGAGGAGGACATCAGGGGCCAGCCATCCAGCTTCACAACAAGCCAAGGAGTAAGAAATAATGAAAGGTATACAGAAATAGAGAAAGGTAAAAGCCCAAAGGCAAAAGATAGACAGTATAATTTAAAGTTATAAAAAGCTGGCAAGAAACAAGCCAAGCTAAGGCTGGGCATTTATAATTAAGAATAAGCCTCCATGTGTGATTTATTTGGGAGCTAGGTGGTGAGCCCCCAAAGAGCCAAAAGAGTAAAAAATAACCAAAAACACGTATGCTTGTAGCAGATTTGACTGATTCTCAGCCCATGAGCTTTGTATGGACTTCAAAGGAAAAGGGTTTTTTGTTTTATGATTTCAAATTGTGTGTATTGAGTGTGTGAGATAGAGTACGTGTACACACTCAATGTAGGTGTCTGTACAATCTGTATGTGTTAGATCCCCTGGAACTGGATGTACAGGTAAGTTGTGACCACCTGATGTGGGTGCTGGGAACAGAATTCAGGTCTACTGCAAACTCAGTAAGTACTCTTAAATGCTGAGTCATCTCTCCAGCCCTGGTGTGTGCATTTTAGCAACCCTCCTGTCAAATGAAGTAGCTATTAGCTTCATGTGGCAATTTAAACTTAAGTTAGTTTAAATTAAATAAGAAAACGTCTTTCCCCAGTCAGAGTAGCCATGCCTCACATACCCAGTGCCTATGTGAAGCTGATGGCCACTGCACTACATGTGTAGTTATTGAGTGTTTTCCACATGGCAGGGAGTTAAGAGGACTTGTCCTGGAGCGCCAAAGAACCTGTTGTCCTATTAACACTCTCACTATTACCTAGGAAAGTAGCTTTCAAACTTGTGATTCTTTTCGTAGGGGGTTGAGTGTCTGGTAAACATTGATCAATGGCTGAAGTTCAAAACGAAAGTGGATTAACAGGTGATAAGTTACATGAGGATAGGGACAAAGAGTTCTAGTGTGTGGTTGCACAGGAGACTTGCTGTAGATAATGGTAATGTACTGTGCATGCCAAGAGGTTGGAAGGAGTCTGCATGGTTTCACAGTAAACAGGCAAGCAATGAGCGGATGGCTATGTTTACCCCGAGTTAAATGGTGTAATGTAGATACTCATTGCAACGTCACCTTCATCTTAGCTCAGACTTTTCACAGATGTTTCTCACCCTTCCTTCCTCAGGCTGGTAAATCCACACATATTAGGGGTTCACTTACTTTTTTTTAAAAATAATCTTTCTCTGCAAAAAGTCTTCTTCAGATCCTTAGATAATGAAGAGACTCCTTACATCTGGCTAGAACCTTTGCCATTGCCTCTGGGAATCCACTGGGGTTCAAAGATGAAGTGACCAAGGGCAACAGCTTTCTGCATTACATTATCACCTGTCACTACCTCTTACATTCTTGGTAAGAACAAGGTGGCCCTCACCACCTAGGGCAGGACCTTGAGCACTGGCCAGCTGCCCAGCAGCTTGCTTGACCTCATTAAAATTGAGCGATCATGTTAATGTTTGGGTTTGAGGCCAAATCTCTTAAAGCTGTTTAAAGTTTCTGAGAATGTTATCACACAGGAGATTTGCCTTGTGATCTTCTCTTTGTATTTTCTAGAACATCAGCTTGAATGGAAATAGAGCAAGTGGGAGTTAGATCTGGGATTACATGCAAAATTTATTTGCTAGAGAAAATTACATGCAGTACTTGGCTGGTTACCTTACTTTTATTCTTAGCTCTTAAACGATAGAAAATAGGATCCTTAATCATTATAGTTAAATGAAACCTTATAAGCTACAAAATTGAAGTGCTAACTGGCCAGAATGGCAAATCACGATGCCTGGTGTTTGTTTTCAAGAAGTGGAGATGGGGTCCTGACAACCTCTACTCAGAGCTCTGCTAACTCACAGCCTGACCTGTGTTTTCATGTCCACCCGCTGAAGGTCAAAAACTGAATTTAGATGACAGAGAAAGTACAGTGCAAGGGAACAGTGCATTTCCTAGCAGCTTTGTCAAGATCATGCAGGACTGGTAACTGATCAGCTTTCTGAAGGCTGCGGATTTTCCTGAACATGAATCAAATCTCCGTCTATGGAGCATAACGCTTTTTCCTTTCAGTTTAATTATTTACTGCCGAAGGACATGCTTCCTACTCTTGTATCGGCTCCAGTGAACTTCCCCGCACAGTGGGCCTGTCAGGTTGGTGCAAATGCCTCCACTAATTGGTGTCCTGCCCTGTTGTCCTCATGCTGAGTTCAGCATGAAGCCGGTTGCTCTCAAAGAACAGGCTGGGTGTGATGAAAGCAATACTGCAGAGCACAGATGTGTGATGCCCGAGAGTGTTTGTTCAGTCAACATGGACACTTTTCAAACACAAATCACCCAGGTGGCCAGGTCTGATGGTCATTGTTAAGTCTCTTGGCAAGGGTCTTCCCTGAACTTGTGGGCATTCAGATACCCGTTAGAAATTGACGACTCTGGTGCTAATCACCCTAAGTATTATTGGCCAAAGAGAAAGACAGAAGACTTAGGATGGATCCCCACTGTTCTTTGCCTACAATTTTCTTGGGCTTGCAATGGAGACTTCTGGGCAACAATATTGGCCATGTTATCATGTACCTGTATTTTAGTTTCTTTGTGTCCAAAATTATCATTAGTGCTGGTAAGTTGGCTAAGGAGCATCCTTCGGATATCTGAAAGGATAAAGCTATGTGACATAAGAGGGATGTAGGAGAGAAGTGATGATTCTAAAGCATGACTTGACTTTTGAAAAGCATTCTTTACAAAGATTGAAAGTAGGGGTAGGTGAATGAGGCAAACAGCTTTTGCCTCATCCTGAAACAATCGTCACACTTTACATTTACACCTAACGTCTAAACTTTTTGAGTATATTGCAATTTCTCACATACCTTCATGCTATGAGCTGATATTTAAAACTTCTCTATGAAGTCGATAAATTAAGCAGCTATCATAATCCAGAATCTCAGATGTTCAAGTTGGAGATAGCCCACTTCTTTATTTGTGAGCATAATTTACAATTAAAGCCCTCCATCTGTGCTTTGGTGACTATAGTCAACTTCCCCAATGTTTTTTCATATATAGAAAACATAGACCCTTAGCTAGGCACAGTAGCATCTTCCTGTAATCCCAGCTCTTGGGAAGCAGACTTGAAGGACTGTCTCAAGTTTGAGGCTTGGTCTGTATAGCAAGTTCCAGTTGAGTCAAGGCTATGTAATGAGCACCTATCTCAAAAACCAAACCAAACCAAACCAAACCAAACCAAACCAAACCAAACCAAACCAAACCAAAGCCTATAACCTTGCAATATGTAGCATGCACACTTTAAGCTAATTAGAATAAAGATTGGTTGATTTTTTCAATCTTCTGGCCATGTTTCTATGAAATAAGATTATAAATTGTTGATTTTTCCTTACTTTCAAAGATACATGGATATTTTTAATATTTGTAGAGATAGAGGTGGAAGAATCTTACATGTTTATAGTTGTGCTAGCAGGTGATTGTAGCAGGTGGGTAAAGGCAAAAGATAAGAAATTGCCTAGCAAAACTTAACTCCTTCTTAAAGTTGGAAGACACTGACTCAAACATAATTAGGAATGAATATTGAGATTAGCATTGCAGACCTGTATAAAGTCTGTTGTGGCTGTCTCTTCCTCCTCCTCCTTCTCAGAAAAAAATAAAAGAAAACAAACATTGGACAATTCTGGAAATTTTATTTACACCATGACTCCTCTGTCTAAGCAAGAAAGAGGAAGAGTCCAATATGAACAAATTGTCATAGCTCTTTGAGACATCTCGACTTTGTGTTTCAGCAATGATCATGCAACTTCCCACAGCCATGCTGATAAAGCACAAGGCAAACCTCAAAAACATCAATTCCCAAGTTCAAAGAACAGCCATGGGCTCTCAGGTTAAGAGATATTTGGCTTTCTGGCAATGATTTTTCTGTGGAGCTGAAAATCCCTCTAAGCAAGAAGCAAACATTTACATCAGTTTTATCAGGATTCAACAAAATTATTCTGTGTAGGTTTTGATGTACTGGGGTAGACTTTTTTTTTAAGATTTAAATTGCTTATAGTCATATGAGAACTGTTTCAGTGAGTCAACACCTTGATAAATAATATTTTGTTTGCAACTTCTCTCCTCACAAAAGACATCTTCAGGGCACCCGCTCTGGCTGTTTTGAATGGCATTAACCTGGAAAGGGCATTCTCCACATTCACTCATTTTTCGCGCTGAGTCTCCCTTTAGTAGTTTGGCCAAGCCCTCTTTATCTTGGGACACAGGAAAAAGACTTTTATTCTTGTTTTGAAAGTCTTGCTGATTTGCCGAACAAACCTCCAGCTTGATCTTTTTTTTCTTTTGTAAGTTACATAAGTCGTGCTGTGGGAACTAACATCTTGTCACTCATTGTCCTAAAGCTAGAGCCAAACTGGTGAGAAACCACCTACTGCTGAACTTCAAGCCCGTGCCAAAGAGGCAAGAGCGACACGCTGTTCTGTTGTGCCCTTGAGTGATCAAACAGTTCCAAGAGCAAACAGGAGCTTCAGCAGCGGGAATCAGAGGGCTTCAGGAGCCCAGCAGAGTGCAGAGAAGCCGGGGGGGTGGGGGGGTTGGGGGGGTGGTTTCTTAAGGTGAGGCGACACTGGCAGATACAGGCACATTTGCTTTGCTTTTTGGTTCAGGGTGCTTGAACACCCCCAGAGGAGGCAGGCTGATGTTGTTTAGTGGGTGGAGGAGCAGCAGAGCCCCACAGCAAGGGCGCTTTCTGTTCTCACTTGCTGTTTACTTGCCAATATTTATGTACACAGTTGTTGTTCTGGGACAAGCCAAGGTATTTCAGTCTCTTGTGTGCCTTCACATACACGTCACGTTGGTGAACATATGTGCTCCACCATGACCACTTCCTCACTTCTAGTTAAGGCCTTCCAGACTATCTTTTATGGAGGGAATGAAAGAATTTTCTAGAGAACTGATTTGAATAATGGAGTGAATCAGAAACAATCATTTTAAAGTCACTTGGTCATTTTAGGAAGTTGTTTATGTTGACTGAAACAAAAATTTCAATTTTGCAGAGCACTGAGAGGAAGTAGCTTGGCAGAATTTTCTTTGCAAGATCAATAATTTAGTTAAAAGTGAATAATAACTTTAAATTCATGCAGTTCTTCTCTTTGAAGGTACAGAACCAATATTTCCTTAATTGTCCTATAAATCAAAACTTTAGAGTTCCACTAGGTCTTAGAGGTACAGAGAGGGGATAGCTGCTGTTTCTAGTCACAGAGTTTGTGCTTTTATATTCCTCACAGATTGACACCGTCACTGAGTCACAGACTTCAAAATATTGAAAAAATTATTAGATTTGGTAAGTAATGGGCTCATAGCATTGGAAGTGGGGTGGGCATTAATGCATGCATAAAATAGAGCATTTCTAATCTCTTGTCTTCAGTGTATGAAACAGCCTGCCCGGTTTATAAACAGAAGTATAAAAGCTGGAGACTGATGTATGAGACCATGAGCTTTGAGGAAGTGTTCTCTTCTGGGATGCAGACGGCTGACTTCTTAGTCATCACACTGAAGCTTTAAAGAGACTAGAGAGGTTGAAGGGATGCTTTCATGAGAACATTCATTCCTGCAGCTCCATGCTTAAACCACACTACAAGGCCCTTCCTGATATCATCATCCCAGGGCGCAGGAGCTCAACATGAATCTGGGCGACACAAATGTTGGGTGCACACCAGCTCCTCTCTGCTCTTATCCTGGGTTATTCTCCACTAGGTTCTTGTTTGTGAAAGGGCGATACTATTCCTTGAGCCTCTATGGACTTATGACATGTGTTGCCCTCTTTTCCTGCCTTCTCTTTGACCTTCATGATAATTATTAATTTATACAGTTATAAATATTAATGGATTCAGGGTGACATTTCTATACATGCTTATTGTCATGCTTCAGTCAATCTGCCCTTCTTACTTTTCCATTCTCTTCCTCTCCCCTTTGAATTCATTCTGTTCACTGTTTTCACTATAGTGTTTTTGTTTTAAGTCCTCTCCTTTACATGAGAGAAAAAACATGTCTTTCTGTATCCAATGTACTTCTCTTAACGAGATGACCTCTGGTTTCATGCATTCTGCGTTTGCTCGTTACTGTGTATTCCTGGCTCCCTTTCTTTCTTTGGTCTGTGCTCCTGTCTAATCAGTCATGGCTCTACTTCTCCATAGTTTGTCCCTGTCTCCTCTTCATCAACATGCAGATTCCTTGGGTGCAGAGACTGATTTGTTCAGGTCTGTGTGCCCAGCATCTATCAGAGACCCTGGCAGATAACAGGTGCTCCATAAAGGTATACGGAATGGAAAAAATGAATTATGAGAAGATCTATGGTCAATTTTAAGTGCATTGACGTTGGATTATGAGTGTGAGAGCCTATCATCACAAAAAATTCCTGAAAGTGTTTTCTTCTTTATGAGTTGTTCGTCGTTCACGTTGCTTTCTTAAACAGCTTTAAATGCACTACACTTATGAGCCTGAGATTATTCAACCCCCACCTCGAAATGTGTGAACAGTGTTGACAGCTGGAGCCTTGTGAGTTTCCTTCCCTGTATAACTATCTTGGCTGATGTTAACCAATGCATAATGACAAGGGTGAGCCTGTGTGCACCTTGGCAATAATACTCATATTTGAGGTCCAGCATCTGAACAAGGGGACGGGGAATGAAAGTCTGATATACAGCTTTTGGTGTGGTAGAAATGAATCTGGAAACCTAATAAAGTGGCTCATTTAGAGTCAATGATTTAAAATGAGAGGCAGAGTAGCTCCAGTGAGTGACTTGGAAGGCAGCAGATCAGGACTTAAATCAAAGGGCGGCCTTCACTCTTGTTCCCAACCCAGGCACCTGTCAGTTTTCACCTGCCTTCTTTCCCCCTGGCACATGATTGACATCTATTCATTGGCGGTGTGGTAACTGCTCATGTGTAGCCATTCTATCCTTCGCAGCAGGTTGCGAACTCCTCCAGAATAGTGTACTGTCGAGGGGACAATCTGTAATGTAGTAAGTCTGTTATGAACCTCCTTGTATTTAGTGGAAGCACACAGAAAGTTTGTTAGCCAATCCTTTCTAACACGGAAGGCAGAAGTAACTTTCAAGAGATGGAGAATGAAAATAGTTCCAAATCCTTGCCTTTATTCTCTAAAAGGCAAAGGAATTCATCAATTATTTGACGTTTTCATTATCTCCCTTTTAGATTCCCCATAGTGCCAACTTACGGCAGATTTTTCTTCTATTGAAGGGTTACTATGTCTGAAGATAAAATAAGTGAAATACTGAAATGTTTCTGTGACTCCTGGGTTTAATATTTGTAAATAATGTGTTGTGACTCATTTCCCAGGAAAAACAAATGCTTTAGCTTCAAAAGCTGTCTGTTAAATGGAGAGACAGGTGTATTGTGTTTACAAGGGATATGACATTATAAACTCAGCCAGAACAACCCATCCAGATGTGCAGTGATCTGTATCCATGAACCCAGAGGATGCTGTCACAAGCTTTATGGGTAATTTTTATTTTTGAGTGTTCAGACACCTTAGCAGCCAACTGGAATGGGGCCAATATCAGTGACAACACACAGATGAAAAACCATTATCTAATCAACTTCCATCAAACCAGTCAGTGGTAAATAGTGCTTCCTCGAAACACTTATTACAGATAACATTTTGGTTGTTAAATTTATGAAGTGTAAAGTTACGTAACTTCTTTCTTGAAAAAGTCAAGACTGAATTTTCATACCCACGTCCACCCACAAACACAGTTCAGCAGGAGGAGCACTAATAAGGTCATTTGACAAAAATAAATCACACAAATTGTATTTAGCAATTTTCAACATTTACCGAGAAAGTCCATACAGGGGGCATGGCCTTGCCAATTATGAAAAATGTTATCCTGAATAATTAGCAGAATGTGTTGACAAAAAATGTCAGCATGAGAGGAGGCAGCATGCTTTATCTACTGGTGTGTGAGAGAAACCTTTTTGAACCCAAATTTTTGCTAATTTAACATGTTTTCATATTACTATAAATCGCTACTGCAAATTTGTTAAAGACATTGTGGTCTTAGAAGAAACTATTTCTGTTCTATATCATGATATGCAATATCAATTATTTGGGTGGTAGAATGGCTAGTCTATTCCTCTGTCTCAGAATTAGGCATTCCATAAAATGAGGAAATCTTCACCCCACCCAAATTCCCTTGTAGATATGCCTTGGAACTACCTCAGTCATAGTCCTCTGTCCTTATATGTATAAAATTGAGTTTCCTAGGCTCTACCTCTTGCCGGTCCCATTGACTCTTGTTTGAGAAACCTAGTCTCCTAATACACACAGTAATGATGACACTGATGGGCAATTTGGCTGCTTAGCTGCTCTAGGAATCTACTATTACATGGGTGCCTTTGAATACACATACAAGAAGAATTCCTGAACAGAATACACGATGGAATATTGAATGTTATATAAATGACCATTATTTTAATGTTACAGTGTAGCATCTCCCTTTGACTTAATAGATATCAGAATCAAAAGGAGTTTTGAGGTATACAGAGTTGGTGCCTGCCTCCATCATTTGTGTGATAGAAAGTCTTCATGGGTTATCAGCAGCAACCTAAATCAAATGTACAAGATTAGTTCCTAAGTTGGGAAACTCCTTTTCTTTCATTGCAGTATTTAACCCTGACTGTGGACCTAGCGTGTTTCCCATGCCTCCACTGGGCATCTCTGCTGCTGCCTCCTCCTCTACTAGAGTTCATTTAGTTTCCTTCACTTCTTTAAATGGAAACTTCTTATATCACATCTTTATTTGCTTCTTTCTAGTCCACCGTTATCCTTCCTCACTGCTCCATTGTATTTATGCCAAATAGTTCTCAAGATCATTTTCTCTCTCTTGAAATACTGAAACACATTCTCCTATCCATACACTCATCCATCCATCTTTCCATCCATCCAACCCTCCATCCATTAATCTACCCACCTCTTCCTCCATCCATCCACTCACCCACCCATTCATCCCTCTATCCATCCATCCACCCACCTACCCATCATTCAAACACCCACAAAATTCCCATCCATTCATGAAGCCATCTACCCATGCATGCATGCATCCACCCATCCATCCATCCATCCATCTGTCTTTCTGTCCATCTATTCATGCATGTTTTGTGTGCTTTATAGTTTATTCAACACATGGAAACCACACAAACATTTTCCTATGAATTGTCTTTCTTTTCATTCCTGTGAATTGCAGCATAATTATCATGGTACTTGGGATCCAAAACTTGAACTTCATATTGAATTTACCTTCACTGCAACATCTGATTAATTAAGTTCTGTCATCTTTTTTCTTATTAACATGTTTTGTGTCTCTTTCTTATTGACAACTCTCAATTTATGTGTTTTATTATCTTTTTTACAGAAAGTTAATACAACTTTTTGATATGCTTTGAAACCCCCTTTTTGATAGCAATTTATTTGCCTTTAAATTTATTTTACAAAAATATATTTTCTTCTCATTATAACTCCATTGTTTCCAAAGTTATCTGTTTTCTGTGCTCAACATCTATTGACTAGAATTAAAATATGGTCCATCAATGTCTCTGCTAGTAAACACCCAAAGAAAATATACCAAAACTTCACCCAAACTCACTGCAACATTATTCATATAGACAAGATATGAAAATTATCTAAGACTCTATTGCCAAAGAATGGTCTCTCTCTCTCTCTCTCTCTCTCTCTCTCTCTCTCTCTCTCTCTCTCTCACACACACACACACACACACACACACAATCACAATCAGCCTTAAAAACAGAAGATCCTGCCATTTGTGACAATAATATATGAACAATGAGATATGTATGTTAAATGAACTGATGCACAGAAAACCAAATCATGCATATTATAACTTAAATATGGAATGTTAAAAATTAAAGCACATAGAAAAGGCAAAATGATGGTCATCAGAGGTGGGGGTGGAGAAATCAGAAAATGTTAAGTCAAAGGTTTTCATCTTTCAGCTACACAAGATAACTTCAGAGTTTTAATGTGCTCTGCCAGCAATTTTCCATTGTGTATTGGACAAACAACATTGGAGTAGCTTTAGGGTGCTCTAAACACACATACACAAACACTCACAAAAGTCAGTACAAACTGATGTGCATGCTAACTTGCTTAGTGAGAACAATCATTTCACTATACACACAAACATCTGAACATGGTATACAGCTTAAATATATATGACTAAATCTTGAATTTGTGCTCGTTGTTTGAGATTCTAATTAATCCCAGAGCACATGTATAAGACATCCATTTGTCTTTAAGAATTGGTAAACAAATTATTGGGTGAATTCTATTATAATAGAAACATTTTCGTGCATTTAATCTAGTTACTTGGGATTCCCTATGCTAATTTCTTGTAATTTTCAAAGCCCAGATTAAATAACATCTACATTATAGTGTTTTCCCTCATCTCAGGTGATGATGTCTTTTCAATTGAAATCCCACATAGCTTGCTTTTCTGAATAACTTGTGTGGAAAGTAGTCACTTGTTACATTTTCAATTCCCTTCTTGCTTATTTTGGCTTCAATTTAATCTTTAATATATCATTTCATAATCTCATATGGGTGTGCATGCTCTGACGCTGGTGATTAAATCTTCAACTTTTTTGAAGTCTCCTCAGTGTTTTTTTTTTTTTTTTTTTTTTTGGTTTTTCGAGACAGGGTTTCTCTGTGTAGCTTTGCGCCTTTCCTGGAACTCACTTGGTAGCCCAGCTGGCCTCGAACTCACAGCGATCCGCCTGCCTCTGCCTCCCAAGTGCTGGGATTAAAGGCGTGCGCCACCACCGCCCGGCTCCTCAGTGTTTTATATAGCTATTAGGTACCTAGAAAAAGTGTGAGAAATGATCAAGAGTACTGTGTGTATATTACACAGAAAATAAGATGGTATTACTTTCTAGTGCAAATTAAGCCCAACACTGACAATAAATCATTTGAAATAAATACAATCAAATTTTATATAAATTAACCATTATGTGAACATTTTCCATCTTCATCACACTCAAAGCCCATCCTTGCACTTTATGAATATCCAACACCTTTGGCAGTTGCAAAGAGTTACTAAAAATGAAAGTCACGGGAGTTTCTTAAAGAGGTGAGACATGTTCTTCAAAGTAGTTTCACCATAATATATCTTCTGGCTTGGGGGATTTTGATTTTTGTCAGTTTGATCCCAGGGCAAAAGTTGAATATTAATATAAAGAAATAAAATACAAAGCCCATGATTCACTGGATCTGAAGTCCTATTAATGTACAGTTCCATTAAATAATGAAATAATTCAAAATTTAATATAATAAAATGTTAAAAATGAAGTCACTGTGGGATAACTGGTGACTTCCAAGAATACACATTATGGTTTTGTGGGTCAGAAGTCCAGGATGAGTCTAGCCTGGAGCTAACTAAACTCAAAGCACCTGAAAACTGAGCTCCTTTCTGAAGACCTAGGGGAGATTTCCAGAACACACTCACATTCCTTAGACCCATTCTTCCATCTTCACAACCAGTGGCACCGAGAGCCAAACCCTCTTATGTCTTTGTTACTCTTCTTCATTCTACAAAAGAGAGACTTGGACCATAGTCAGAAATATTGATAAATTTAGCTCTGGTATATTGGGCCAACCCAGAGAATCCAGAATATGCTTTTTTTTTTCAAGGTCTTCAATTATTCACATCTGCAAAGTCTGCTTTCCTATTAGGTAATGTAGTCCTGGATTCCAAGGATTAGGAGATGGATGCCTTGAAGAGCCAGTATCTGGTTTGTGAAAGCAATGTGTTTTACACATCTATAACATCAGATGCATTTTCAATGGAGTATATTCCAATTAGTAGTAACTCTAAACTTCCTACAGTTGTAAAATATTAGAACAAGAAGGGTCCATGGAGGCTGTGTGTAGTAGTTAACATTCACAATAGTGCCCAGAGGTCCTCACCTCTGGGTTCTGAGCCCTTGCACTGTCCCTTCCTAAACAGAACCATGGGAACAGTAGAATACAGTGAATTTGTGAGTAAGTGAATGACTTCTGAGAATCAGTCATTAAAACATTGTAGGTGTCGCCAGGTGGTGGTGGTGCATGTCTTTAATCCCAGCGCTCGGGAGGCAGAGCCAGGCAGATCTCTGTGAGTTGGAGACTAGCCTGGCCCACAGAGCGAGATCCAGGACAGGCACCAAAACTACACTGAGAAACCCTGTCTCGAAAAAAACCAAAAAAGAAAAGAAAAGAAAATATTGTAGGTGTCATCTGGATTTTTCAAGACACAGAAAACTAAGTGCTGTATGAAAGAAGACTCTCAAGCATCCTTAAGAAGGTTCCTATGAGGGGAAGCATGCCCTCTGCCAGTAGCTGCTCATATGATTGAGCATGTTGACAGTTCCAAGCAAGACTTTACATGACTTCATCCTGACTGACATTAAAACTAGGACTGTACTAGAGACTCTGAGAATTCCCAAGCTTAGCCTCTTTGGAATTCCCGACCTGTAGTAATCCACCATGAAGGAAGAGCTTGCTTTGGCTCACAGTTTGAGGATACAGTCCACCATAGTGGGGTAAGCATAGCACCAGGAGCCTGGGTTGGTTGGTCACACTGCATTGACAGTCAGAAAGCAGGGAGAGATGAATGCTGTGTTCAGCTGTCTTTCATCTTTTTATTGAATGGTATGCACATTAGATGGTTATTCCCACATCAATTAACCCAAACTAGAGATTCCTTCACAGACATGCCCAGAAATTTATCTCCTAGATGACCCTAGATGCTGTCAAGTTGACAATTGAGATTAACCCTGGCAGTTCCTCAGTAGAAGTCTGTCACCCTTATGATCTTTAGTGGTCACATATTTGTGTTCCTGTCATTACTGTCTCCCTGTGAGATGAGAAGTCTGTAGTTGTTAAGGGCGCTAAGCCTCTAATAACATATGTGTCCTCTTCTAGCCTATTCCTCATGTCATGGGTAAGCATCATCCATGGAATGTCCCTTTTGTGGCAGAACTTGCCAGGATGTCAGGGTCTACACACTAGGTCCCAGAGATCCCCAAGAGACGACAGTTGTTTTGTGGCATACAGACAAACCCCCAAATACCTTGTAGTATAAGTTAAAGCTAAGGGTGAAAGAAGGAGAATATCTTCAGAGACAGGGCCTGGCTTTTATGGTACCTCAAGTTGTTACACAGAAAACTTTGGGTGCACATATTTCAAATTAGTACCAAGCCTGCGAAGTTGTGATGAAAGTATTTTTTTCCCATGTAAGTGGATACAATACATTGTGTTGAATAATTTTTGCTGGAGTTCTAACTTTTACTTATTTATATACATGGTATATGAACCCCCATTTGTTGTCTTCTCCATACCATGCAGCATTTCTAATAGGTTGGCCAAGAATTCTCTGTATATAGATCCATATACAAACTCCCAAGATGTGCATGGTGAGTAAAGGAGCAGTGTGTGGTGGGGCTATGATGAAAACATTTCCCAGCATTGGCCTTTCTCTTGTACCTTTCATTCTTTATGCCTATAACGTTGGTTCTTGGGTACATGAAATTACTTTTAGACATTGCATATACCAAGTATTTATTAGATAGGTTTTAAAAGGCTTTGAAAAGTATTGCTACTTGTAATTATCTGACAGCAGTCAAATTTCTGGAATGGATTTCTTGTCCCAGCTAGATTCTAAGAGAACTAAATTTTGATGTATTTCAGGTTATTTTTTCTTAAAATAAAGTGGGGTGGTGGTGGTGCACGTCTTTAATTCCAGCACTTGGGAGGCAGTGGCTGGTGGATCTCTGTGAGTTTGTGGCCAGCCTGGACTACAAAGTGAGTTCTAGAGCAGTCAAGGCTACATGGAGAAACCCTGTCTTGAAAAAAAAAATCCCTTTATTTTGAGATGATTATATTCATATGCAGCTATAAGAAACAATCCAGAGATTACTATTGTACCCTCTACCCAGTTTGGCCCACTACATCTTGAAAAGCTATAGCACAAGGTCACAAACAGGATATTGTCCTTGATATAGTCAGGACAGTCCAGTCCATCGCAGCAAGGATCCTTGTGTTGTGTGTTGTCCTTTTGTATCCATACCCACATTCTGCCCCATCATCTTGATCTGAGGCGACCATTAATCTATCCTCTACTCCTACAGTTTCTCATTTGAAGATTTTCAGTTCTTTGATTTTTTTTTTGAGACAGGATCTCTCCATGTAGCCCTGGCAGTCTTAAAACTCACAGAGATCCACCTGCCTCTGCTTTCCAAGTGCTGGGATTAAATGGTGCATGTACTTCCTGTTTTTATTTTTATTTTTTTGT